GGAGAGTGGGGATAAGGGAGGGCAGCTCCTGCATGCACTCCTGCATCTGTGCATGGAGCGAGGGTGGGCTGCCACTGAGGGGTTGGCCCCAAGCCCCAAACTTTGTACTACAGCACTCCACCATATCTACCCATCGCCTGCTACCCGCCCAGCCCTGCAGGTCCAGTCTCAGCAGGCTTGCAGCACACGGGCGGGTCAGAGGGAGGGAGGAAGGACAAGTAACCCAAGCGGGCTCCGCGCTTAGGGGCTGAAGCGACGGCGGGGGCTCAGAAGCCCGAGCGTTGGGAAGGCCGCACAGCCGCGCCCGCGGCTCCGACCTTCTTCCGACTCGTGCGGAAGACCCCGACCAGGTGCTGTCGCAAGCCACAGAATCACCGCTCGCTCCGCACGGGCGCGGCTGCATGATGCGCCCGCTCTTTTGAAGGGAGCCGCGTAGCAAAAGGCAGGAGCTGAGCGGGTCACGCGGAATCACAGGTTGTAGCCCGAATGAGTCCGGCCCAGGCCCACCGCGCGGCAGCCCCCGCAGCCCGACGGCGAAAAGCGAGCGGAGCAGCTCGCCCCGACCGAGCTCAGGGAAACTTGCAGCAGCTCTGCTCCGAGCCCGAGCACCGGACGCCCCTCCCCCACTTACACGACAACGCGCGAGATGACCCACGACACCATCTCACCGCCGCCCCGAGAACCCCGCCCAGCCGCAACCTCGTTGTGAGCGTACACCACGCCCCCCCACCGATTGGCTGCTTCCGCCCGCGCAGGCGCAGAAGGCCCACTCAAGCTTGGCGGAGGACGAAGGTGGTTTTGTGTATTTGCGTTTGCTGGGTTGGGCTAGTGAACAGTTGCTGTGGGTGAGGCCTCGCTGCTTGGTACCTGCCCGGACAGCACTCAGCTCCCGGCCTCTCGCTCTGTGGCGGCGGGAAGCCTGACTCGGGCCTGGGGGCAAGGAGCGAGTATGGTGCCTGGCTGACGGAGTTCTCCCGCGCCGCCCCTGCCCAAGCCCCAGAACCAAGCGGACTGACCGGGAGGGGGCACAAGCAGGCCCTGCAGGCTTGGAGCCGGCAGCCTTGGGGCTCCTTTCTGCCCTGTCTCGTGGTACTAGCATGACAGGAGTCACTTTAGTCTTCACCTGGAACAACAGAGGGGGCCTGGGATGGGTCACCTGGATTATTGTCAGGCAAGGTTCTGGGCCATGCATGTGAGTGTGTGTATGTGTGTGGGCCCTTCATGACACTACTGAGGAGCCCCCATGACCCTGATTTAGGTCCGCCCTGAGGTTGGGAACCAATAAGCTAAAGTAACCAAGAAGTCTGTGAAGAGGCAAGTGAGCTGAAGTTTGGAAGACAAAGAGTAGAGATAAGAGGTGGGGGAAAGGGAAGGAAAAGTGTGAAGGAATGCAGGTGGTCAGCTAAAGGTAGGTACATGGTGTGTCACATTTCAGGCAGGTGTCACATTTCAGGTAATGTGTCATAAATCCATATTAGGGCCATGATTTTTGTATCCAGTAAATATATGAAGTGAAGTTCGTAAGCTTGTCTGCAAAAGTTGTTTTGTAAATTCCCTTTGAGAATTAGAATTGAAAGATTGGAGAGGGAGTGGTTGTCTTGTGAGAAGTGGGTACCTGCAGGTAATTGGATATTTTTGTCTGATGGATTTCCAGTATGCATTCATTCTGGTTTGCAGTTCTGCAGTTCTTGTTTGGTTTCTCCTATTGTAACACTTGGGAGTTTCAGTCATAGACCTCAATCTCACTTGGGTAGGGACTGTATTTCCAGGCTAAAATAATCCCTGCTCCAAAGCAGGCTCTAAATCAGTTGTCACCAACCAGTTGATCGCAATTGGCTGCTTGATCGCAGAGCCTCTTGCAGCCCATCTGAGGCTGGGGGAGGCTAAGTGCATGTGTGCATGCGTGCCCAGCAAGTCAGTATGTGGGGTTGGGATGGGGATGGGGAGGGGATCAGATCAAGGCCCCAGCAGTGAGGGACAGAGTGTGGCACAGGCAGGAGCAGGGGCTGAGTAGGGCCCTAGCCAGGCCAGGTGGTGGGAGGATTGAGCCCTGGTGGCTCATGGAGGGGAACTCCCACCAGTGCACACACCCTGGTGGAGGCCTAGGGGGCGCCCCCCCGATCTGTGCACAGCGCAGAGGCGGCTGCCGCTACATTCTCGGCTTTGCACCCTGAGCCCCACTGAAGCTACCGTGGGAGGGCATGAGGGGGCATGTGCCCCCAGTCTGCATGCAGGGCAGGCTGCTGCTGCAGGCTGGGGCAGGGTGGTGCTGGTCTCTTCCCAGAGGCGGGGTTGCACTTGGGGCAGGCTGCAGCACTGGGAGCAGGCCTATGAGGGAGGCTGCAGCCACCCAAAAATTCGATGTAGCTCCCTGACCTTCCTCCCAGCACTGCCACTATCTGAGCGCAGCGCAGCCCAGTCCCCCAGCCAGGAAGAGCCTGGAGTGACCCCAGCCCACAGCAGTAGCCCATCCTTCCCTGTGCACAGATCTGGGGGACACAGCCCCCATAACTTCCTGGTGCATGTGTAGTGGCCGGAGCTGCCACCTCCTCCCCGTGTTGGGTACCCCCCAGACAAGCTGCTCCTGGCTCCGTCACATGTCCCACCCCAGCCCCACTCCCTCCCTCACCACCATGGGTGGGGCAGATCAAGGAAGCAGCAGTGAGGGAAGGAGTGGGGCACAGGCAGGAGCAGGGCCTGAGGTGAGTGGAGCCCCCCAGGCCTTCACTTGTCCCACCACCCGGCCCAGCTGGAGCCCTACTCACCCCAGCCCCTGCTCCTGCCTGTGCCCCGCTCCCTCCCTCACTGCTGGGGCCTCAATCTGCCCCTCCAAACTGCCCTTTCCCCTCCTCCCACCCCTCCCCCCACAGGCTTACCTGGTGGGGGGGGTGCCCCCAAATCATTTTTTCTCCCACTACCCTGATCTGCACTTCCCTCCCCTGCCCCCCCCCTTCCCACAGCCTGACCTGCTGGGCAGCCAGGGGTAGGGGTGGGCATGGGGTAGATCCTGGGTTGCTTTTTAATTCAAAAAGTGATCTCCTACTTAAAAAAGTTGGAGACCACTGCTCTAAATGTCAGACAGGCCACAAATGAATGTAAGGAACGAGACGAAAACAATTGAAAGAATTCTGGTCACCACGGTTAGCTGTGTGGAGGGAGCAGGGAATTTTCTTGAAAATGAAATCAAGCAGCTTATAGTGCCTGTAACCTTTTTACGGTAAAGATCACTTTTTGGCATCCCAGAATCTACAGCACCCTCCCCTGCCTGTCTTGGCCCCTAGCCCACCTCCCTCCGACCTCCCAAATAAGCTGCCCACTCACCCAGCCTAGCCCAGGTGGCAGGAGGTGTGGCCCAGCCCTTTTACATGCATCCTGCTGCTCCCAATTATGGAGCCTCTGACAGACTGAGATCCACTGTCAACCAGTCAGTTGAGATCGACTGGTTGGTAAGCACTGCTGTAGTTATTGAAGTAGATTAATTCAGGCCTCTAACATGACTAAGAAAAGAGAGTGAAGAAAAAGAGATGGTCTTGCTTCGTATTTTAAAATGTTTTAAAATAAGAAAAAATCTTCTGCTTATTACAACTCCATGCACAGTTCTTTTAAAACAAATGTTCTTCCTTTCCTAAAAGCAAAAAGGTGATAACAGTTCTCAAAACAAAACGTGTTGCTAAGCAAGCAACTGTTATGATTTACCCCTGACTTTCTTTTCAAGGATGCTTTGTTTAAATCATGTATGTTTTCACAATAGAAAGTATAAAAAGGTATGTTAACTTGTAGAGGGGGGGAGTTCTGTTAGATCTCCTCCCTACTATCGTATGGTATAGTCGCCAATAAACTTAGACTGAGTCTGTGAATTCTAATACAAAACACAATGCAGAGTTTGATTTCTTCCACAATTATGGTGCCATGGCTCGGACAGAGATGTCCAGAGTGATCAGTTGGGACACAGACATCTCTTCACTGAAGACCTGGTGCCAAACCAAGGTAAGAGACCTTTTGAAATCTCTAGTGGGGCTTTTCAGTAAGAGGCTGTCTCTGTGTCTTCCTGATTCACTGCTTGAGGCTTACTCTATCCAACCTTTTTGCTGCCAGAATTTTCAGACCCACTCTGTAAGCAGAAACTGTAAGTAGTAACTGTGAGTAGAGTTAAAGTGTTGCTGTTGTCAGTAAATGTATTTCCCCTTGTAAATTGAGTTAAGTTCTGTAAAGAACTATGAGGTCTTTCTAAGGCCAGG